AAGCACTAGTATCTAATAAATAAGTACTAGTAATTAATGGAAACGATACCTGTATCTAAAAAATAAGCACAAGTAACATAAGAATAGATACTAGTACGGGTTATAGAATAAATGTAAAAATGGCTTGCCATACATGCACAGCAAGCTGTGCGCAACACACGGCAGGCCAGGGAAATATACGTCTCTCATTGCTTTCTGCTTGTTTTTGGCGTTATCTGCTAAATTTGCGTCAATTTTTTTTCTCTCTCTTTGGATTCCCCTTGATCGAAACATGCCACTAAATGAGTTCAGAAAAAAATCTCAGCAGAATGTGACCATGTTAAAGCCTGACAGTGTAGCGCAGGGGTGGCCAACCCTGTTCCTGGAGAGCCACCTTCCTGCAGATTTCAGTTGCTACCCATATCAAACACACTTGAACCAATTAATTAGGACCTGAACACCGGGTGATAATTACAGGCAGGTGTGTTTGATATGGGTTAGACGCTAGAGGCCATGGTCTTTAGCCTCCTTGTTAAGGCTGATTTATACTTCTGCGTCAAACGCCAGCGTATGCTACGGCGCTGACGCATAGCCCTTTGCCGTGGCCGTCGGCGTCGCTGACGTGCACCTCTCAAAAAATGTAACTACACGTCGCAACGACGCGTAGCGCAAGCGCTGTGATTGGTCGGCTTGGTAGCGCTGACGAGTCTGGGCGGGACCGAGAGCCGCGCGAATGGCGCAAGCCCAATGTACTGATTGTTTACAAGTGTGGAGTACTGTGAAGGAGCTCCGGATGGAAAGTTTTGTTTTGTGTTTACCTCATAGTTAAAGTTGTTGTACGTCCGCCGGTTCCTGCCTCAAAATGAGCGAGTTTGAGCCACTTGTGAATCCAGGAAGTGTTCAGGAAAAGCAAAAAAGCAGAGAAGAAACTCGACACAGAGGAACATTTACACCTCACTGCCAACTAGCGTCTCGGAAGTGTTAATGCAGACCGACAGAGACAGCGCGCAGAAGTATAAATGCACAGCCGTGGGTTACGCCGGTCACTTGACGCAGAAGTATAAACCAGGCTTTAGAGCAACCGACTCCCACGTGGAAGGTCGCCGGTTCAATACCAGCTCGGAGTGGGTTGGGTGGCGTAGGACCAGCAGGGTTACATTGGTGTCGTGACCAGGATAGGAGTGTGGTTAAGGGAAAGGCCAGCTAGTGTGTGCTGTGCAGGTACACCTCACTCCTCTGACCTCTAAGCGACAGAAACTAGAGGCCATGGACTTTAGCCTTCTCGGTAGAGCGACTGACTCTCATGAGGAAGGCTGCCGGTTCGATACCAGCTCGGAGCGGGTTGGGCGATGTAGGATTGGTGGGGGTTACACACGTCTCCAGATTGACAACAGGAGCAGAGCAAAGAGCAGGGTTAAGAACTAAATTTATGGTTTTAAAGCAATCACTTTTAACAATCAAATTTGAAGATAATTTAGATTTAGCCTTACTGACCAAGTCCTGATATTCATTTAGGCAGTCTTTTAAAATCTGTTTGGAAACCTGAAGCCCATCCTTTTTCCACCTGTGCTCAGCCCTTCTGCACTCTTGCCTGAGAGTACGGGTTGATGAATTTAACCAGGGCTGTGGAATTGAATTAACCCTGGACCTCTTAAATTTAAGAGCAACTTCATTTAAAGCAAAATGACAAGCAGAGTTAAAAGTTTCAGCAAGTTCTTTAGTGTCTGAACAAGATGGCAAAGAAGCATCAGCGTTCGCCCATACAATGCGTATAGAGTGGAGGAACTATGACGTCACTTTGTAGGCTAATCGGCTGCTAGCATAAAACTGGTTCCCTCATGAAAATTCCTATAGGATTTTCCCATAGGCTTTTCGAAGATTGCAAATAATAAGCTCTGTGTTCAAACACAGTTCATTACACTTTCACGTTTTGTTCAGCCGGATAATCCTCACACGAAAATACAACTTGGAGCACTTTTGAATTTTAAATGCAAACGCAAGACTTGAAAAGCTAACATTAGGCTATAAACGGACTACAGAGCCCTCGGGGCGCTCGTCATGACGTCAGCCCCACCCTGCTAAAGACGACTTATCAAGCTTATTTTTAGAAATAATGTCCATGACAAAGATTTAATCTCTCTGTTTATTATATTATAATCCACGCTATATATTATAAACTAATAAATACGCAAACACACATAGACCTTTGTGCCTTTTGGATCGTTTTTACGTGGGAAATACATCTGTTTTGCTTTGCAGTTGTTCTAAACGTTTTAAAAATGTGTATAATTATGCCTATATAGTATTATTATGAGACATATTTAAATAAGTGTATCGCTCGCGCACACAGCCTGCTTACCTTAAACAGACGACAGAAATGAGGCGTGAGGAGGAACAAGTCTATCAAATGGCTGCAAGTTCCATCATCATGGACACAGAGCAACATTCAATATTCCTTTATCACGAAGTACAGCGAAAAGCAGCTCATACAGTCACATCTGCTATACGTTTTATGGAGGAGTGTAAATACTGCAGTTAAATGTGTTCAGATGAAGAAAAAAAGACGAAAAATTACTTGATCACGTTAAAATGACAGTTAACATGCATGTATTTTTACACATTTATTCACACGTTTGCATTACTGAGAGCAGGAAAGAAACAGGCTGCTGCACTGGTGAGCAGTATCTTCATAATATCGTTTAATTAAAATAAATGATCAACAAATTAGTCTGTCTCGACAGCCTTTACATGTGAAGGAATTATCTACACACAATCTGAATTCTCAATTAGAAAAATACAACAAACTATAAAATAGTATTAATGAAAATACATAAAAAACAGATGAATCCAAACGCCCAACACAAGCGAGCTGCACTCCAGACCAGATCAGCTCGATGACGTATAATGTCTCCGACACCGCCTGTAGTCCCATTTAGCAATTTGATAGCAACCGTCTTTTTAAAGAAGCATAATCGATTTAAAAGTTGAAGAGTGTGCTGTAACTGATGTGTTTTATGTCGTAGAACAAAACAGGAAAGTATCTTGAGTTGGTGTTAGCCACGGACCTTATTTAAGCGATTTTACTGAAACCCCATTCAAAAAACCCATTGACTTTGGGACAAGGGAACCGGAAGTGCTGAAATGCTAACTCGCTTTCGGGTTTTTGCATACAAATTGACGTCATAGTTCCTCCACTCTATTACGGTAGAGCGCTAAAAACAACTGAACGCAAATACTGTCGCTGCCAATGCTTGTTCGTCATGATAGATCAGCGTCTCACTGAATATAAATTATTAAATAATAATGGAAAAATAACAAATTAATGCAAATAAATAACCAGAATTGAGAATTGCTTTATCAATAATTACAAAATAAAAGCCATTAAAATCTTAGAAACGATTCTACCTTTTGTCACAGTATTCAAAAAGGTAAACCAATTAAAGCAAATTGATTTCATGAGCAGCTACACCTTAGATTGATTAGACATCCCCACGGTGTCAACTAAACCTTTTTCATGTCCATCTGATGTGTAATTATAAAACAAGAGCCTTTTAAACCTTACACTGATTTGGCCCCGATTTGAAAAAAAAAAAAAGATTAAAATAAAACTATTAGATATTACAGGCCAGTTTTACCTCAGATTGATAGTAGACATTACCATGGTGTCAACTAAACACTTCTCATACGCTAATTTCACGTGGCCGCCATTTTAAAGAATCAAATCGAGGCTGCTGTGGGAAGAAACCTGGAAGTATAGGACCAGCACTGTAAACATTGCAGCAACATGCTGTGCCCTACAAACCTCCAGCTGTTGACGCCATTTCAAAGTGCAGATGTGGTGTAAAAATCACTTTAACATCCTTCAGTAAGTTTCATTTAAACAATTAAGGCATATTAGACATAAAACAAGCTTAAACATTTTTAAAAAAGTATTAAGTCAACCCAAAACACTTCATAATAGGTGCACTCTCAAAATAAACCACTTACTATTTCTCCAGACTGAATACCTGCAATTCTTCTGAACCTACAGGCAGCCAATCGGCTTTCACAGAACTAGCAACAGGCAGCCAATCAGCTTTCGCTAATCAGCGTGCAGGCAAACGTCCCGCCCACAGCGTTTATTGTGAGGCGGAGATCGGAGAGAGCAGAACTTTGCTGTTTGACGTTTAATGTGTTTAATTCCTCTTCTGTTACGGGTGTTGTTCGTCTGTTCAGAGTAAGTGTATGATATCTGACCATAGTAGCGTTCGCAGACTTGCGGGAATTATCTTGCGGTTTGAACCGCTTTAACATATGTGCTCAATGCTAACATACTCTCTTGTTTTTAGCTCGATGCTACGCTGTAAACACTCTTGTAATGTCTTACTCACGGGTTATATGGACACCTTTCATTTGTGTCTCCATCTAATTCATTCACTAAGAGGTAGTTTAATGCTGATTATATTGAATATTGACTGTTTAACTGAACATATGCTTGTGTAAACTCTTGAAGAGACGCAAACGCTTTATTTTGCAGTAAAACAGAATTTAGGATTAGTATAATAATATAAAACACTTAATTCATTAAAATATTGAGAGATAAATGTAAGCAATCAGAGACATGATCACGCTGCACACATGACATGTAGAATCGGCCACTTACACATACACTTACACTTACACTTACACATACAGTTACACTTACACTTACACACACATTTATTGAACAGGGGAGAAACACCAATTTGTAGCTTGTGTGAGAATATTTTGATGATAAAACATATTTTAATAGGATGTATTTTTAAAATGATATTAGAGAGTGTTTTAATCCAGGAAATATTTTGAGGAAAATGTTTATAAAATGTGTTTTCTGGAAGAATTTTACAATATTTATCATTGATCAGACTAAAAGACTTTTTATCAGTGTTGTTGTTGTTGTTTGTATGTTTTAATACAATTATTGATGTTTACGAAAAGGTTATGATTGTAAATTTTATGCTGAATATTTATTGCAAGTGTTTCTGTTATAAATGCAGGAATATTCCCATCAGGCTCAAGTGAAGAGTTTACTGAAGGACAGCGAGAACATGAGTGATCCAGAACCCTGCAGAATTAAACCTGAAGATACTGAACAACAAATAGGTTGGTGTTTATTCCTGATTCTTCATTAATAAGCCTGAAGAACAACAATGATGAAAAGCTTTATCTGATTCATTGAACAAGCACAATAAAAACAAATTATTTTATGTAAAGACAGAAAAAAGTAAATACACTTTCTATTCACAAGGTAACAAATAGGGACTGAAGCTCAGTTGTCTTTTAATTGAACAAATGTTCAGTAAAAGGAGATTTGTTAAACATTTGATATTAATTATTATTAATACAGTAATATTATTATTAATTATTTCACTATATTAGGGCTAAAGTCTAATAACATTGTATTAGGCACAAACTGTGCTACAATAGGCGGCGCAGTAGGTAGTGCTGTCACCTCACAGCAAGAAGGTCACTGGTTCGAGCCTCAGCTGGCTCAGTTGGCGTTTCTGTGTGGAGTTTGCATGTTCTCCCTGAGTTCGCATGGGTTTCCTCCGGGTGCTCCGGTTTACCCCACAGTCCAAAGATATTCGGTACAGGTGAATTGGATAGGCTAAATTGTCCATAGTGTATGAGTGTGTGTGGATGTTTCCCAGAGATGGTTTGCAGCTGGAAGGGCATCCGCTGCATAAAAACGTGCTGGATAAGTTGGTGGTTCATGCTGCTGTGGCAACCCCGGATTAATAAAGGTATTAAGTCAACAAGAAAATGAATGAATGACCCGAAAATAAATGAAAGACACTTAGCAAATTATAGTTTTTGACCAGGCATGATCAAACTGTCTATACTAGATCTGGAACTGGACAGTCTAGGTTGACACATTTATATTTACTGAATAACGAAGCACCACTTAAATTATTATCAGGCTGCTCTTACCATCAAACATATTTTGTTGGAATGTGGAAGTTTTAATACCATTAAAAACATTTTCTTTAAGGAGAGTACTTTGGACATTTTTAAAAAGGTACCACCAGGAAGAATCTTAAATTATTTATCAAAAGTTAAACTGGAATATCATATTTAACTTTTGATATTTTTTGTGTGGATAATTTTATCTATTTATAATTTATTTATTTGTCTAAGTAACTTTTTATTGAAATATGGATTTGTTTTTATCATGTAATATTTAATGTGTGTCCATTTTGCCACGAAATAGCCATATTTTGCTAATTTGGAAATAAATAAATAATGTAAACCATTCTCGTTAACTTCCAGCTGCATCCATATCCAATCTAGCAACAACCGGTGCAAAACAGTGTGTGCTCTTGCTTCATTTGTAAAATATCACCTTATTTTTTCACATATCTTACCTGAATTTTACACTGCTACTCAGCTAGCGTAAAAACAAATACCATATCTCCTGGTTCCTCTGAAGGAATCCTCTGATTGGTTAGCTAATGCTGAGTTCTAACTGCAAGGTTTTTAGAATAGTTGTGTCACAGATGTTTTCTCACTGCATGACTAGCTGCTGTACTGTTCATCGCTGATTTGTTTACACTGCAAGATGGATCGGCGACAGGGGGTTTCACACTGCATGACTTGAGAATAAGAATTGCCTTTGTCTCAGTCCACAAACCACGTCTCACAACCAAACACACGCGAGAAGTGACATGGAAAAAACTCGTGGTCATGTAGTATATCTTTTATTATTATCTACATAATGAAAAAGAAGCCTTTAGTGTGCTAGAAAATATTTTGCTCACCTGCCTTTAAAGGGAATTAGCAATTTTTTTCAACTTTTTCTTTTTCAACCTAGTTGTGGTATTGCTTAGATCAGTGGTTCTCAAAGTGGGGGTCGGGACCCCCCAAGGGGTCGTGGGACAATGAAGGGGGGTCACCTGGTGATTTTCAAAAATCTATTTATTTTTATTAAACCATAAGAATTAACATATTTAATCCATAACAAACTAAAAAGAAAAATTTGTCATTACTATATACTATATAGTGACTATAGTCGCTTATAGTTAATAGTTCTATTGGATTGCGACCCCTGGGGTAATTACATCATATTAAAGACAGCAATAGCGTCAGATAACACCAGGTAAACTTTCTGGCACATGTACAGCCCTGACATACATAAAAATTAATTGGTGTGTCTGCGCCATTGCATGCAAGGTTTCTTTATTTATAACCACTTCAGAGGATATTAGGGGTCGCGAGTCACTGGCGTTGTTATTTTGGGGGTCGCGGGATAAAAAGCTTGGGAACCCCTGGCTTAGATGAGACGTCACACAGACACGGGTGCTCCTGCCAAATTTACACTAGTTTTTCCTCCAAATCTTGGGTCCAAATACCTTGAAAAGAAGCCCTTTTAACTTCTCCCCCAACCTTCCACTGCAGATACCCAAACTCGTGGATGCTGCCCTCTCATTGGCTGTAGGTAATCAAGATGTTATTTTCAATCAGAACACATTTCAGACGGCATGATTTGAACCGGCAAAAGCTCCAGATAATTAAGCACGCCAAATATCTCATGGGCGACTCATCTGCTCTTCTCTTAAATCATATTTTTGATAGTTCACACTGTGCGATTGTTACTCGCGTGAATGAGCACCGATTTTCCTGTGATTTCAGGCATATGTCTACAATTTCTCAAAACCTGTCGGCGAGTTAAAATCAGGGCTAAAATCATGCCATCTGAACTCTTCATTAGCCACAACAACAGCAATCAAGTGTTTTCGTATGTTACAGCGCTTTTGAGGATTTTTGGGCCACTCATCTTTGCAGAATTGTTTAATTTCACCTCATTTTTCGAGCATCAACCGGCTTTTTAAGGTCATGCCACAGCATCTCAATGGGATTCAAATCAGGACTTTGACTAGGCCACTCGAAACTGTTTAATTAGTTTTTCTTCAGCCATTCAGAAGTGCACTTGCTGGTGTGCTTTGGATCATTGTCCTGCTGCAGAACCCAAGTTGGCTTCAGCTTGAGGTCAGTAACAGATGGCCAGACGTTCTACTTTAGGATATTTTGTGTGGGATATCATAATTTCATTGTGATATGCCCATCACACTACCACCACCACATTTTAATTTTCCTTTGATATTTATTTCTGAAATTCAGTGCAACTTTTATGCCATACATAACGGCACACACGCCTTGCAAAAAAAAAAAGTTTAACCTTTGTCAGAAGTCTTGGAAAAATTATCAAGATGTTTTCTGGCAAACCAAAGCTTTCATGTTCTTTCAGCTCTGCAGTGGTTTTCTTATTGGAGCTCTGCTACATTTTTGCCCAGTTTCTTTCTTATGGTGGAGTCATGAACACTCACCTTAACTGGGGTAAGTGAGGTCTGCACGTCTTTGAGTGTTGTTATGTGTCTTATGTAACCTGTTGGATGAGTTGTCGATGCTCTCTGGGTAATTTTGGCCAGCCAGACACTCCTAGGAAGATTGACTAGATAATGACTTATGCTGTGGTTCACTGCAGTCATAAAGCTTTAGAAATGTTTTTATAACCTTTTCCAGACCAGAAGTATTTTCTTTCTGATTTGTTCAAATTTCTTTGAATCTCTACATGTTGTCTAGCTTTTGAGGCTCTTTTGGTCTACTTCACTTTGTCAGGCAGGTCCTATTTAGGGAATTTCTTAATTTCTAACAGATGTGACAGTAATCAGGGAAAACTTCACACAGGGCTATGTGGTCCTATGTTTTGTTTTCCTTTAAATAATTCCATGCAGATTACGTAACTAGAAAACATTTGTTTTCAAAAAGGCTCACAGGGTTCAACGCTAAGGATTTTTTCTACTGGCCCGATCTGATTTTTACTTGCCCTGCCAAAATTTTCTCTGGCCCCACCAAAAAAAAAAAGAAGTTAATAGCTGTTTGACTGTGTGTGTGTGTGTGTGTGTGTGTGAAGATTTTCTCAGCACATTTCTAATCATAATAGTTTTAATAACTCATCTCTAATAACTGATTTATTTTATCTTTGCCATGATGACAGGAAATAATATTTGACTAGATATTCTTCAAGACACTTCTATACAGCTTAAAGTGACATTTAAAGGCTTAACTAGGGTAATTAGGGTAACTAGGCAGGTTATGGTAATTAGGCTAGTTATTGTATAATGATGGTTTGTTCTGTAGACAGTCTGAAAAACAATTAGCTTAAGAGGCTAATAAATTTGACCTTAAAATGGTTCATAAAAAAACTGCTTCTATTCTAGCCAAAATAAAACAAATAAGACTTTGTTCAGAGGAAAAAATATTATCAGACAAACTATCAACATTTCTTTGCTCTGTTAAACATCATTTAGAAAATATTTTAAAAAGAAAAAAAAAAAGTAGGCTAATAACTCTGTATATATATTTACAGTAATTTTTAAAATGTTTTTTTATGGAAAATTATTCAGTTCATCAAGGCTACATTTATAAATGTAAAAAATGTTTAAGTTTTAAATTTTTTAAAAAATGTAAATAACTGCTTTGTTATTTTATGTAGTTTCAAATAAAATCATAACTCCAGACATTATTGATTTTATTACCATTACCATCAATAAATATAATAATAATTAATATTAGTGATTTCTGAAGGATCATGTGACTGGAATAATGAAGCTGAAATTTCATCTTTAAAATCACTGGAATAAATGAATAAATTAAATGATAAACTACTTTTGAACAGTTATTTTATAGTGCAACATTTCACAATTTGTATTTATGATGAAATAATTGCAGCCTTGGTGAGCAGAAGAAGCTTATTTTAACATATTTAATCATACTGACCCCAAACTTTAGAGCAGTTGTTTATAGAATATTTTGTGAAAATGTGCACTTTAATTTTAACAACCCACAGACATCGTCACCGAATACAAATCGAGGTCAGACTTTCTCATACAGAGCCTCATTTCAATTGTCAGGTTTTGTAGATATTTATCTATTGAATTAATCAATCTATTAAAGAAACATTGGCTAGAATTCTGTATTTTAGGCTTAAATTATAGAGAGACATAGCAGATGAACCGAGACTGCATCAGATCACGAAGCAGATCAATGTTGATTTTCTTTCGAGCTGTGAGTGCAGAAATGAACAAAACAACTGGCCTAACACAACATATTAAAAGATTAAAACATGGAAAAAATGATCAGATAGTAATTTCGGTCAATTTTCCTGACGGATAAACCGAGATCAGGCTGGATAAACAGCTCTCAGTAATATTTCAGCATGCTTTCACTTTCGCATTTACCTGTAAGAATGACATCTCGCCCAGCTCATCATTTTCTCTTCATATAGCCGTATATATGGCTATTACACGATCATAATACACTGTGATATAGCCTGGGTCGTTAGTTCGTTGCATTGTTTTGTTTTCTCGCTACAATCGATCTGCTCAATAGGACAGAGACCATCTCATTCAGGCGATCTCGGACTGATTGATTTGGCGCGGATGCGAGCGCAACTGCTGGATATATGCCAAAAAACCGCGCTAACGGGGGAAACGAGACAGATTCCGAAACAAACGTCTATGTGTGTAAGCACCGTAAGATTGTATTTGCACACAATTGACAGACAGTTGCAGCACGCAGCTCTGGCTCGATCTGGCAGGCAAAAAGGCAGCACTGGCCCGATCGGGCCAGTAACATTCTGTACACTGGCCTAAGTGTCTCGCACGCTGGCCCCGGGCCATCGGGCAGTCCTTATTGTCGAGCCATGGGCTCAGTGAATCCTTGTGTATTGTTCAAATTGACTACTCTTTCAATAAGTTTGCGACTGTTTCTGCCCCATTGACTCTGTTATAATCACATTTTTTAATTTCAAAGCCATGACTGCAAATAATCATGCACTTTTGATTGTTGGGGGTTTTCCCAGTTGTGAAGTGGTACAATTTGTTGTTATTACTGTTGATCATCAGTTGGCTACATTAACCCTTTAGATAGGCCTGTGCATTTTGGGCTGTTATATAGAGTTCTATGGTGTAGCACAGCAAATTATAGCGTGCTTGCAGAAATACACTGAGAGCTAAGGTGATTCTTTATTTTTCAAACATATCAAGGCAAGTGTTCAAATGTCTGTCTTACACTGTCTCTCTCTCTTATATACACACACACACACACACACACACACACACACACACACACACACACACACACACACACACTATACTACATATAAAAGGTAGAAGCTTTTTTTTGCACTGTAACTAAATAGGATTAAAATTACAGCTTGTTTAGTGATGTTTTTAGTACCTTTTGACAAGAGTTTATAGACTTAATAAAAACCTGTTTTTTTTATTTCAGACCTAATTGAAGAGAATGTGGCAAGTAAAGAGGAGGAACATCATGTCAAAGTTGAGGAAAAAAATCATTTACAGACTTGCGGTATTTTGAAAACGAGAGACAAGAAACCATTCACATGCACTGAGTGTGGGAAGAGTTGTGGAGGAAAAGATGATCTTAAGATTCACATGAAGATCCACACTGGAGAGAAACCGTTCACCTGCACTCAGTGTGGGAAGATTTTCAGACATATATCGACCCTTAATAAACACAAGAAAATCCACACTGGAGAGAAACCATTCACATGCACTCAGTGTGGAAAGAGTTTCAGCCAGTCATCACAATTTAATCAACACATGAGGATCCACACTGGAGAGAAACCATTCTCATGCACTGAGTGTGGGACGAATTTCAGCCGGTCTTCAAACCTTAAACTACACATGAAGATCCACACTGGAGAGAAACCATTCACCTGCACTCAGTGTGGGAAGGGTTTCAGACAAATATCAAGACTTAATAAACACAAGGAAATTCACACTGGAGAGAAACCATTCACTTGCACTCAGTGTGGGAAGAGTTTTGTTTTTTCAACAAGTCTTAATAAACACATGAAGGTCCACACTGGAGTGAAACCATACACATGCACTCAGTGTGGGAAGAGTTTCAGCGTCTCATCAAACCTTTATAGACACATGAGGATTCACACTGGAGAGAAACCATTCACATGTTCTCAGTGTGGGAAGAGTTTCAGCATCTCGTCAAACCTTCATCAACACATGAAGGTCCACACTGGAGAGAAACCATTCATATGTTCTCAGTGTGGGAAGAGCTTCAGCCAGTTAGCACAACTTAATCAACATGTGATTATCCACACCGGAGAGAAACCATTTACATGTACTCAGTGTGGGAAAAGCTTCAGCCAGTCTTCACACCTTAAACTACACAGTAATGTCCACACTGGAGAGAAACCATACGCGTGCTCTCAGTGTGGGAGGAGTTTTAGCCAACCATCCAACCTTAAGCAACACCTAAGGATCCACACTGGAGAGAAACCGTACACATGCCCTCAGTGTGGAAGGAGTTTCAACCATTCATCATCGATTAATCTACATATGAGGATCCACACTGGAGAGAAACCATACTCATGCACTCAGTGTGGAAAAAGTTTCAGCCATTTACCATCGATTAACCTACACATGAGGATCCACACTGGAGAAGGAATGGGACGATAACTGTTTTCAAGGTATACCGCAGTTTGGAAAAGTCAAGGTTGTAAAACCACCACAATTTTTCTGCTATAACATTCCTATGGTGTTGATCCTATTCTTCAATGCGGAAGTGTGCTCGCTTTTGCGATTGTTTTAGAACTTCTGATTCAGCTGCCTATGGGAGAAATGACTAGAAATGTTAGAAAGAGGTCAAACTCCTTGCTCTAAAAACAAGTGTTTGCATGACTATACAGAGAAAATAGAATAATATAATAAGAAAATATCACGTTTGCAACATCAAGCAGCAGAGCGAGCTGTTATTAACATATACAAATGAATGGAAGTGAATAAGACCGCAAGTCTTGAGCTAAAATAATTCAAATGGCTGTGCCCTCTCGTACGTGGAGAATAAGGTGAATATGTCTGATTTTTTTTATTTAAATTTATTTTATTTACGTTTTGCGTTTAGTACAACAGAATCTCAAGCACAAAAGATATCTAAAATGCTGTTTTAAACTGTAAATAAATCTGTGTTTCTGAAACTAATGAAGACAGCTGAAGTCAATGATTCATTTGAATTATTCAGCCTGACATGTTTACTGCTCCACAATATTTTAAATGTTTCTCAAAGTATTTTGTTCAAAGGGGGAAAAGTTTTAGTTTTACATTTAAAAAGAGCAAATATTAGAGCAGTAATCACAGTACCATCAAACCGTGATATTTTTATCCAAGGTTAGCATACCGTCAGAATCTTATACCGGCCCATGCCTACACTGGAGAGACCATTCACATGTTCTCAGTGTGGGAAGAGTTTCAGACGATCAACACACCATCATATACACATGAAGAGTAGGGCTGGGCGATATGGCAAAAACTCAATTTTTTTTTATTTCAATATTGAACAATAAAATAGGCGACACTCTAGTGCATTTTGGGGAAACGGCCATTATAGGGCGAGGCGGCCATTTTGTAATGAAAATTCCAATAGAACAGCAGCATATTATAAGTCTGTAAAATAAACTTCTAAAAGTGCTGATGATTGTGATAGTAAGTGTTGTATTGTCGTTTTCAAGGTTGTATATCAGCTTTAATGCGCTTTATAAATAAATAAATAAAAAAACAAAGCAGCTTGCCATTGCGACAGCAATAAAATCCAATGGACAGCCGACCGCTTTCACTCCAAAATGGTGGAATCCGGGGCTGTTGCTGGGCACTGCTGGTGCAATGGAACGTTCTATTGAGTGTCGCCTCTTGGTCATTCTAAGCTCTTTGGTTGCGTGGAGCCATAGTTGCTATTTACTTGACGGACTTTGAAAGTGGAAAAACTGATCAGTTCACTAGTGAGAAAACAGTTAAACAGAGCATCTGCAGCGCGAGAATAAAGAACTAACCTCCTTCATTCGGCCTCTTTCACTTTCTCTGTCTCTTTTGTGGATAAGAAACGCACTCCACTGAAGACATCTATTAGCCTACATATTTAATTTAGCTTGATAGGTGCTAAGATTTATTTCAAAACTATTTCTAATTTCCGTTTTATTTTCCAGGAAACAAATAAATGAACAATAATAAAGCCTGGTTTACACTTCTGCGTCAAGTGATTGGCGTGACCCACAGCCCATGCAGTGTGCGTGGCTGTGCATTTATACTTCTGTGAACTGTTTGTGTTGCTCTGCAATAAAACTTCAGAAACGCTAGCTGGCAGTAGGTGTTCATGTTTCTCTGTGTCGAGTTTCTTCGCTGGTGTTTTTTTTTTAACGCTATCTTAATGTATAAGTGGCTTAAACTCATTTATTTTGAGGCAGGAACCGGCGGACGTGCAACAACTTAAACCATAAGGTAAACACAAAAAAACAGTCTCCATCTGGAGCTCCTTCACGGGACTCCACACTTGTAAACACTCGCAGCATTTGGCTCGTGTGGCTCTCACCTCTGCCCACACCCGTCAACGGTTCCAAGCCGACCAATTTCAGAGCTTGCACTACGCGTCGTTTCGTCATGTAGTTACATTTTTTTAAGATGTGCGCATCAGCGACGGCCACGGCAAGGGCTTTGCGACAAAGTATAAATCGGCCTTAACAAACCCTGCTGAAAAAACCAGCAAAGACCAGCATGATTTTCATGCTGGTCTATGCTGGTCAATGCTGGTTTAGCTGGTTTACCAGCTTGGTCTTGCTGGTGATGCTGGTAGACCAGCTTGGTTTTGCTGGTTGACCAGCTTGGTCTTGCTGGTAGACCAGCTTGGTCTTGCTGGTGATGCTGGTGGACCAGCTTGGTCTTGCTGGTGATGCTGGTAGACCAGCTTGGTCTTGCTGGTGATGCTGGTAGACCAGCTTGGTCTTGCTGGTGATGCTGGTAGACCAGCTTGGTCTTGCTGGTGAAGCTGGTAGATAAGCTTGGTCTTGCTGGTAGACCAGCTTCGGCTTGCTGGTCAGGCTAGTCTACCAGCTTGGTCTTGCTGGTCATGCTGGTCTACCAGCTTGGTCTTGCTGGTTATGCTGGTTGACCAGCTTCGGCTTGCTGGTCATGCTTGTCTACCAGTTTAGTATTGCTGGTGATGCTGGTCTATGTTTGGTGGACAAGCAAGACAAAACTACCACCCAGATAGCATACAGTTCTGGGCCACATCTGGGCCAACTAAGGCACATATGGCTCACTTCTGGCAATAGCAGGAGACATATGGGCCAGATGTGGCCCGTATGTGTCACACCGGGTGTAGTGTGAGTTGTGGCCTGCTGTATGTGGGCCAGATGTGGCCCGTGTGTGACACCCCGGGTGTAGTGTGAGTTGTGGCCTGCCGTATGTGGGCCAGATATGGCCCGTGTGTGACACACCGGGTGTAGTGTGAGTTGTGGCCTGCTGTATGTGGGCCAGATGTGGCCCGTGTGTGACACATCGGGTGTAGTGCGTGTTGTGTATTTTTAGTTCCGGTTTAACTTTAAATTAACGGGAGCCTTTGAAGTGGTTACAAATTATTAGAAATTGAAAATCAAAGTTAATTTGTCTTTCTAAGTCTGTACACTTTCATTTTATGAAGTAGAAAATAGAAAATAAATATTGTAAATTAATGTACTGTGATGCAAGGATTTACATTTTTCCGATTGGCTACTTCTGCCTGTGGACTGCATACCTAATGAGTGGGAGGGGCTTGCTGCTCAAACAAAACACAGACTCTGATGTGAAGCATCAGCAGTTCTGTGTTTCCTGTGTTTTATTAACATTATTGTCCCTCATCAGGCAGTGAGAGCGCTACACCTTCTCTGAAAATAATAACATTGCATGTTTCTGAGATTGAAAATGATTCTTTAGGTTATTAAGAATAGGAATAAGCTATTGCTTATCAGGGAAAGTATATGTTTGTAACCTTATCACATATTAATTCAGTTTATTTCCTCAATAATGGATTTATTTTTACTTTAAGGCTGCTATGAATATAAATTTATATTATCTGTTATATGTAAATGTTCCAGCATGAGTAAAATTCTTTTTTTTTTTCATATTACCTGGTATGTCTATAAATGTCTATAAATGCAACGAGTTTCATCATTTATTATGCTTTGATCTATTAATGTTTTGTTCAGTTTCTCCATTTGAATGAATTAAGACAGTGTCCTACCGCCACCTACTGGGTGGATTTAATTTGCTATTAGTACTACTTTTTAATGAACAATTTTACAAATGAATTCATAATCTAATAATACTAAATTAAAGTGCTGTTTTCTTGGTGTTACTTTTTGCAATTCTACATTTTTATAATGATTTTGTTTGATTAAATGCCACATACAACATTGTTCTTTTTTTATTTAATTTGAATATTAAATAGACATAAATGTTTTGTTTATGAATAAAATAACTATATAGAAAAAAATGTCAGAGAACTGAGCAGTAGAATGTGAATAACATGAATGTGTTCGTAAATAAGCTGATCTTTGTAAACAAAACAAGTTTTATTTACTTATTCTACAGAACACAAAAAATAATAAAAATAAATCTGACCAATTTTAATGCGCACACCTAACCCCGCTCCTAACCCGACACCTCACTTTGATGTCACTAGCTCTATTTGAGTGCATTGTTTCTGACATTGCATGTCAAACTGTGTGTCTCAGCTTGCATATGCAAGTCTGCAATCAGATACTAATGCTTATGCAACACAGCCCTGAGGGTACAATCCTCAGTGCAGGGAAACACCACACATTATCTTAATCACAAACTACAGCAAATTTAGTTTATCCAAAATTCACTTATACTGCAAATTTTTGCACTATGGAAGAAACTGGAAACCAACAGAAACAACATGCACACTCAACATAGAAAGGCCCAAAAGTCTATCCTGGTTCTGTGTGTGTGCACCTGTAACAGCGTCAACAAATTTTATAGACAATATGCTATCAATAAGCATGTTAATTAGCAATTAGTTGATTGTAAATATATCTTAAAGTGTTATAGTTTTTATATAACAAGCTACTGAATATTAAAAATAACAGTAAATATTTTAGAATTACAGCATGTTACATAACAGAGCAAGGACATGTTCACAGTATGTCTGATTTTTCTTCTGGAGAAAGTCTTCGACTAGAATAAAAGCAGTTTTTAATTTTTTTAAAAGTGTTTTAAGGTCAAAATTATTAACCCCTTTAAGCTATATATTTTTTCGACAGTTTCAAAACAAATCATTGTTATAAAATAACTTGCCTAATTAATCTTACCCTAATATATATATATATATATATATATATATATATATATATATATATATATATATATATATATATATATATATATATATATATTTATTTATTTAAAAACATTATCATAAACTGCCCCCTGGTGGCGAATATGTGTTTCGCTTCATCCTTGCATTACGGTGGAGTGGGCGGAGCCTCGTGAATGACGGTTAATTTTTTCAAACGAGGAAGTGAAGTCAAGTCCGCCATTTCATCTTCTTCTTTTTATCGGGTAAGTTATTATTTTAAAATCATATTTGTGAGATATTTGTCGTCAGGTAATGTTTTTATTAGTTTTAAAAAGCCCCTGTTTTGAATAGTGATAAAACTGTAACTTATATGTGGATAATATGGCTAAAAACTGATGGCTAAGAATGATGGCAGCCGTCAGTTCAGTAACGTTAATCTGTTAAGTTGATTGTGCTCGGGGTTTTAACAAATTCATTTAAGTTACAATTGTCCTTTTACGCTCGTCATTCCCAATTAAATGATCAATAAGACGTGTTATATGAAGAACAGCGTCGAAACGGGAGCTTGAATGAATGAATCAAATGCTGTCCGTTTTATACAGTTGTTATTGGTGCCGAGTTCTGCTTTTGTACTGGTTTTAACTCAAACACTGAACGAACAGTCTCTTTTTGGTAACGTTAATCCTAATGATCTTGATTTGCTTGTTAATGTGTGTTTTATCAAGTTTCAGCAAACGTTTACAGAGTAACGTTATGTGGTTCATGCTGGCCACTGTTGAGACTGGTCTGCATTAAAAAAAATTTAAAGCCAAAACGTTTGAAAAAAAAAATCCACAGTTGAAACATAATGTGTTAAATGACTTATGAAGGAAATTAATTAGCTAAAAAAGAAGGCTAAGTGTGTTATGAAATATTAAACCTTGTTAAAAAATAAAATCAATTGTGTTAAATAAGCTTAAAATCCATATCTTATGTTTTATATTACTTTAAAACGGCCTGCAAACTGAATTGCACCATTAATCTTGTAAATATGTATCAAGTCCAAACAAATGGTTTTGTGGCAAGTAAAAATAATATTTTTATAAATTGATTGTATTGTATTAATTTGTTACAGAAAAGAAAGGAATCATGCAAGGATGCAAGCTGAAGTAAAGGACAACTCTCACATCAGTGCATTACTAATTGTTTGACTTCATCATCAAGCACACCAGGTACAATATTGTACATATTTTGTAACTTGTATATGTCAGACTGGTTGTTGGGAACTAAAATAATATATTTTATGTTTTATTTATTATTAAAATATTACAAGATTTATTGCTGCTATTTTATCACTGTGTGAGGTCATAGCTTATTTAAAATATATATTATTAAAAAAATCTAATTTGAAAGAAAGTCTAAATGTTTCCACAAGGTAATTTATTAAACTGTTTTCTGAAAATGTAAAATTTGAAAGTATTGGTGAGCTGGAAAAACAGTCTGTTGACGTAACTTTTATTTTTATCTTATCTTTTTATTTTATGTTAAAAGTAGATTAATTTACCTTGGATCGCATGTTTCAGTTATAATTTCAGAGTGAAAAATATAAAAGAAAACCATTGAAAACAATGGCATAATGATTTTGCTTGTTCACAAGAGGTACTTGATTTATTTTTCCTGTAGTGATACATAAGTTTTTAAGACTAATGCTTGACACTTAAATTTTAAAGGGATAGTTCACCCAAAAATAATGACATCTTTTATCCTCCACTTGTTTCAAAATATTTTTTTTTGTTCTGTTGAACATAAACTCAGGTGGTGCGGTGCACAGTGGATAGCTCTGTTGCCTCCCAGCAAAAATGTTTCTGGTTCGAGCCTCGGCTGGGTCAGTTGGCATTTCTGTGTGAAGTTTGTATGTTCTCCCCGTGTTGGCGTGGGTTTCCTCCAGGTGCTCCTGTTTCCCCCACAAGACATGCGGTACAGGTGAATTGGGTAAGCTAAATTGTCCTTAGTGAATGTGTGTAAATGAGAGTGTATGGGTTTTTCCCAGTGATGTGTTGCAGCTGGAAGAGTATCTGCTGCGTAAAAAATGCTGGATAAGTTGACTGTTCATTCCACTTTGGTGACCCCAGATTAATAAAGGGATGAAGCTGAAAAAAAATGAATGAACACAAACCCAGTTTTTCCTACTATGTTAATCAATAGTTACAGGTTTCTAACATTCTTCAAAATATCTGCTTTAGTGTTTAACAGATTCAAACTGCTTTGAAACAAGTAGAGGATGAATAAATGGTGGCAGAATAGTAAACTATATCTTTAAATGTTTTATTCTGTATGTTATGTGTATTCATATTTGTCTTGTCTTTTGTCATATTGTCCTTTTAGCTCAGATTGTGATGGACCTGGAATGCGACACCAGTTACTCTTAAAGCCTGATTTATACTTCTGCGTCAGGGGACCGGCATAACCCACGGCGCATGCAACGCGCGTGGCTGTGCATTTATACTTCTGCGCGCTGTCTCTGTCGGTCTGCATTAACACTTCTGAAACGCTAGTTGGCAGTGAGGTTTAAATGTTCCTCTGTGTCGAGTTTCTTCGCTGCTTTTTTGCTTTTCCTGAACACTTCCGGGATGTACAAGTGGCTCAAACTCGCTCATTTTGAGGCAGGAACCGGCGGACGTACAACAACTTTAACTATGAGGTAAACACAAAACAAAACTTTCTATCCGGAGCTCCTTCACGGTACTCCACACTTGTAAACAATCGCTCGCTCACATTCGCGCTGCTCTCGGTCCCGCCCAGACTTGTCAGCGCTACCAAGCCGACCAATCACAGAGCTTACGCTAGGCGTCGTTGCGACTTGTAGTTACATTTTTTGAGAAGTGCACGTCAGTGACGGCTACGGCGAAGGGCTATGCGTCAGCGCCATAGCATACGCCGGCGTTTGACGCAAAAGTATAAATCAGCCTTAAGTCAAGAACCAAATGAAGCACCAGAGTACAGATTATGGAGGTATCTGAAGTTGAACTAACTGGAAGCAGGGAACCATACTAATAAAGTTCCTTAAGGTAAAAGCACCTGCTTTATTTTGATAGGAAGTATTTTTTTATAGAGTTCTATTGTTTTATTCTTATTCTAATTTTATTTTATTCATATACTGAATTGAAGTCATTCAAATTTCACAACAAATGATTTGCAGATTGAATATAAAATATAATGACATTTTAATGCATTATTTCTTTTGGTTATTCTTTACATCTATATATGGGCAAGTATTTAATCAATGAAAATAATTTTAAACAACTTAACTAAACAAATTACTCTGTTGGACCCTAATATTTAAAATAGCAAAATCCTCAAACTAACACACACTCTTGTGAATGCATTCTCACATTCATACACTCAAAAACACACATTCATACAACAGTCTGTCTCAGTCTGACTCACACACAACATCCTCTCCCACATATTTTTCTAGCAAACCTCCACCACAAGCTTGTCCTTTTATGTTGCTTTTATTTCAAATATTTAGAGCATGATATAGTCCAGGTTTTTATCACTAAGTATTTTTTTTTCCATTCAGCAGGTTCCTTGTAAAGATTAACCCAGGGAAGGATCGAAAGTGGAGAAGACCAGATCAAGAAAGACTACATCAAGATCTGCGGTCAGTTCAAAGGTACTTTCACTAATTACCAAGATTTCAGACTATGAGTTGATGGAGAAAACTTTGAGTGTCAGATCTTCCTACATCGCCTAGCAAAAATTCTTCCCAGTGTCTTGTAGTAGAAGTGATGTAGTCAATCGAGTTTACATTATTTCGTAAATTGCTTTCTGATTTAATAAAAAATATATTAACCAAACTTGATTAATGTAAAAATTTTGATGAAAAGGGCATGTTTTACTAGAGCTTTTAGCACAAAGGCACCCCCATCTTGGAATATTGCTCTGTCTGACGTCACGGGGTTGGTATGCTAGAAACGTTTTTGAATGAGGTATTTGTATGATTTATACATAGTCTGTCTTAAAGCGTCACTAAATTGTACAGGCATTACAGGTCAAAGCAATCTGTTGTTACATTTATCAAAATAAACAATAAGGCTCTTAAAACACTGCTTTGAAAAATGTAGAAAATGTAAAACAAATATTTTAAATATTTTATAATATTAATAATATTATGAGGAAGTATAAAACCTTCCTAAGCTTGAAAATATACCAAACTTCCTTAAAGGAAATAAACTTCCTTTGTTAGTGCAAATTCCTTTTTATGTAGTCTTGTAATTAAACAATTAAACCATTCAAACAAGTTTTGAATTTTCCAAATGTAACTAGCTAAAATAGTACCATGTACTTTTACTCTGTATTAGTATTATTTACTAAAATTTGTTTTATTTTAGCAATATAATAGTATTTCTAGTCCTTTAATTTAATGTAATTTAATTTTCAGTTCTCTTTCCATCTACAAAAACATTAAAAAAATAATTTCACAAGCACATTTAAAATAGGTTTAATACTATGAAATATTATATTAATATTATTTTTTATAAATTGATAGGTAGTTCCTATGGAATGTTTTTATGTATCGCTGAGAATACATTTCAGGTGTTCAATACGTTGCTTGTCAGTCTTAAAAATAAAAATAGGTGCTGAAAAAAGTGCTTAAAAGTCCTTAATTTTAATCGAGTTGTGCCTGTATGTACTCTGCAAACAGCACCTTTTAATTGTTGTCTTCTCTGATTTTCAGGATGTTTTGCATTGGACTGTTTTTTTTGGCTTTGACCCTTGCTTGCCCCTGACCTCACTCTTGGACTGCCCTGTTGGATTTTCAGTTTATTTAATTAAAAAAAAAATTTTTGGTTCTGGGTAGATGCTAATAAATATTTAATTGTAATTATTTAATGTAAATCAAAGGCGGCAACACCAAGGCTCCAAAAATACAAATTTATTAAATTAAAAAGGCTGACACAGAGCGTAAAATGTTTCGAGCCGCCGGCTCTTCATTAGACAAATAATTTTTCGTTGTAATTTTTTAAATAATATGTTTTTGTTAAATATGCAATTTCTGTGTTTGTTCTGTCTACTCGAACTTGTTTATCTGGTTTCTGTAATTATCATTTGTTTATTTGACCCTTGCCTCGCCTCTGATCTTGTTTTTGGATTGCCCTTCATATATCTTTTTAATTATTGGTTCTAGTTATATGGTTATAAAATATTTGTTAATTTAATTAATATGCATTATATTAAAAAATACATATAAATATATTTTCTGTGTTTTTTTCTGTATCTATTTATCTAATTTGTATATACATTTGTGTTTGTATGTTCTTCTTATTCTGTATATCCACTTACCTAATTTTACCTTTTATATATATATTTATTTGCATTTAATTTGTGATTCTTCTGTATGCATTTATTTATCTAATTCATATATTTATATGTATTGCATTGATCAATCTGTTGTTGTTTTTTTTGTATGCATCTATTTATATAATTTATATAAATTATATATTTGTATTTATCAATTTATATGCTTCCTTTGAAGCAATTTTTTAAATAAAGCAATTTAAACTAAGCATTCCTTTTAATGTGATTTATATAGCTACCAAATGTAGATGTCAGCCACATCTAACCCAAAAGTCAGCCGCAACTGAACAAGATCTGGGCCAGATCTGTGAAATTGCATGGGCCGCATCTGGGCCAGATCTGAGAAACTGCATGGGCCGCAGCTGGGCCAGATTTCAGAATTTGCATGGGCCGCAGCTGGGCCAGATCTAAGAAAATGTATGGGCCACATCTGGCCCAGATATGGACCAAGCTTTTTCTGAGATATGGCCCAGATCTGGTTCAGTTGTGGCTGACTTTTGGATCCTTCTGACAGCCACAATCAGGTTGAGACATCGCCGTCATTCCGCGCTGTATGTGGGCCAGAAGAAAGTGGGGGATGTGGGCCATATTTGGGCCAGATGTAATTTGCTATCAGTGACCAGCATGGGATTGCTGGTCACTATCAGCGCCAGCATCCCAGCTGCATCTCATGCTGGTGACCAGCATCCCAGCACCAGCATTCCATGCTGGTCACCAGCATAGCACCTAAATCCCAGCAAGACCAGCATATGTTGTGTTTTGGTGCTGGTGACCAGCATGGGATGCTGGTGACCAGCATGGCCAGCATCCCAGCACCAGCATTTCATGCTGGTCACCAGCATAGCACCCAAATCCCAGCAAGACCAGCATATGTTGTGTTTTGGTGCTGGTGACCAGCATGGCCAGCATCCCAGCACCAGCATTTCATGCTGGTCACCAGCATAGCACCCAAATCCCAGCAAGACCAGCATATGTTGTGTTTTGGTGCTGGTGACCAGCATGGGATGCTGGTGACCAGCATGGCCAGCATCCCAGCACCAGCATTTCATGCTGGTCACCAGCATAGCACCCAAATCCCAGCAAGACCAGCATATGTTGTGTTTTGGTGCTGGTGACCAGCATGGGATGCTGGTGCTTGTATGCTGGCCACCAGCATAGCAGCAGCATCCTATGCTGGTCACCAGCATCACAGCACCAGCATCCCATGCTGGTCACCAGCATAATACCAGCATCACAGCACCAGCATCCCATGCTGGTTATCAGCATACCAGCACCAGCATCCCATGCTGGTCACCAGCATACCAGCACCAAAACACAACATATGCTGGTCTTGCTGGTGACCAGCAATGCTGGTCTATGCTGGTTTTTTCAGCAGGGAAGTGTGGTCAAAAACTGAGTTATATCCAAAAACATCTTATGCCCTTATCTTATGCTAAGCTAAATTAAGTTTCTACATTCTAAAACGCTTAAAGCAGTTTAAACATTTTAAAGCAAATATAAAGTCAACCCAAAACACTTCATAATAGGTGCACTACCAAAACCATCCACGTACTATTTCTCCTGACTGAACACCCGCAATTCTTCTGAACCTACAGGCAGCCAATCTTCTTTCTCAGAACTAGCTACAGGCAGCCAATCAGCTTTCGCTTATCAGTGTGCAGGCAAATATCCCGCCCACCACGGCGCTTATTCTGAGGCGGAGATCGGAGAGAGCAGAACTTTGCTGTTTGACGTTTAATGTGTTTAATTCCTCTTCTGTTACAGGTGTTGTTCGTCTGTTCAGAGTAAGTGTATGATATCTGACCATAGTAGCGTTCGCAGACTTGCGGGAATTATCTTGCGGTGTGAACCGCTTTAACATATGTGCTCAATGCTAATATACTCTCTTGTTTTTAGCTCGATGCTACGCTGTAAACACTCTTGTAATGTCTTACTCACGGGTTATCTGGACACCTTTCATTTGTGTCTCCATCTAATTCATTCACTAAGAGGTAGTTTAATGCTGATTATATTGAATATTGACTGTTTACTATTATTTTGATGATAAAACATATTTTAATAGGATGTATTTTTAATATGATATTAGAAAGTGTTTTCATTCAGGAAATATTTTGAGGTAAATGTTTATAAAATGTGTGTTCTGGAGGAATTTTACAGTATTTACCATTGATCAGACTGAAAGACTTTTATAAGACTTTTTATCAGTGTTGTTGTTTGTATGTTTTAATACAATTGTTGATGTTTAAGAAACAGTTATGATTGTAAATTATGTACTGAATATTTAATGCAAGTGTTTCTGTTATAAATGCAGGAATATTCGCATCAGGCTCAAGTGAAGAGTTTACTGAAGGACAGCGAGAACATGAGTGGTCCAGAACCCTGCAGAATTAAACCTGAAGATACTGAACAACAAATAGGTTGGTGTTTACTCCTGATTCTTCATTAAAGTGTCACAAAACACGTTTTGAGCTGTTGACACTCATATATGTGTTCCATGCTGCTATAAACACTATTTGATATATATTTCACAAAAAAGGTGAAAATTGGTTGATTGTCCTGTCTCTACAGATTTGGTAAGTGATCGGTCAGTGGTCTTAGTTTGTTTATACGGGTGGCAAACTTAGTTCGTATCGTCAGCAGTACTCTTTCAGTGTTTAAAGAAGGACCTTAGTCAAAATTATTTAGTTACTAAGTTTACCGTATGTTAATATCACTACACTTTTATAGGCTGAAAGATCCGCTGTAAATTCTGCTCTCTGAATGTAAACGTGTAGAAACCGCAATCAAAACTATTACCTTCAGGTGGAATTTACACCGCATTTTATAAAAGGTTAGTCTATACATACACTGCTTTCTGACGGTACCTATCAAGTGCATTAAAGTTACAGATAAATGCATTTTTTTTTCCTTCATTCGCCATGTGGTATCAAACATTCCATTAAGACTACACTTCCAGCACTTCCTTGCACCCAATATCTCATTTGACACAGGGGGCATGCATGAAATGTTCCTGAATGAAAGTGAAAATGCCAAACTGCAGGTAAAGTCCACAAATTAATAATTTGGAAAGGAATTTGACTACAGATGTCCATGTAAACACGTAACACCCCCCACCACCACACCGCTGCGAAACGAAATATGTTAATCTGGAGCTGTTTCATTGTAAATAGACTGCTGAAACAGTCAATAATACGTTTTCATGATTATTTACAAAGGATATAATAATTAGAATACATTAGAAAAAGCTGCAAATAAATTAGCGAACAGCACAGCTCATTAAAATTAATAGCTATTATGAAGAAATTGAAACAAGCTATCAAATCTCATGAACTTTTTCTTCACAGTATATTTTAATCATTCTGATTAAAGAGCAGCGAATGAATCTCTCATGTACATTTTTTTGATTGGATTACTTTAAATAACAGCACTGTAACTTTAAAAATGCACAGCTCTATAATAAAAGCATTTGATTACTTTCCTAACAGTTTATGCTCATTTAAGACAAAGTTTGTTGTTTAAAAGAAAACCCAACAAGATCGACGTGTCTATTTGTTGTTGTTATTCATTTATTTTATTTTTGGTTTAGTTCCTTTATTAATCTGGGGTTGCCACAGCGGAATTAATTATTATTATTATTATTATTATTATTAGAATGATGATGGTGATGATGTGTATATGTCTGTTCAAACACACCCAAAACTCAGTATCCGCTTGAGCTCTGATCAAATCGTGTACGTACAGAATCCGCATGGGAAACAGCCTCTACTTATCACTGTGGAGCGCATCAGCTGACGGTCATGCATCGTTACATGAACTGACTGTTTTTGAGGATTGCATAGGGGCAATGGCGCTTGTAATAAAAAGGGATTGGTGATGCGGCGTGGCTGTTCAGACTGAAAACCTACACAAGGAGTCATGCTATGAATTTGTTTATTTTAGTGACAGCAGTACACAACTGAACAATTCTTTGAACTGTACAACCGCACAAGCTAAAAATGAACATTTATTTTTATTTTTTATTTTTTTTATCCACAAAGTGTGCAGCTTTTGTCACTGCAGTGGATCCTAATGGGCTTCTGGTAGAACATTTCAAGTACACTGCTAGTACATTGATGTTAGTATGCTTGCTATCCATGAACAATTTAAGTGATACATTTTAGTAAATAACCTAAATATTAAGTTTTACAGACTTGTAATAAAATAATTATCATCATTGATCCTGCCAGCCTAAAGCTTTCTTAACAAATTAATTAAAAAAGATGATTAAACAATTATACAATTATTTATATGATTATAAAATGTTTTTTTTCCTGTCAAGCTGTTTATGCACACATACCTTGCTCTTTCTTCTTCGCTCACAAGTGTAGCTCACTTATTTTGGGTATGTTTTATTTTTTGTTTAGATGAGTGCTTTTTTGAAAATGCATTCATTATCCAAAATAATCTTCATTATTGTTTAAGACTTAATCAAAACACCTTGTTTTGGGTTGTACACTAATATATATTGGAAAGTTTAAAATCTCTAAATGTAAACCCCTTTTTAGCATATTCAAACAAGAAGTATTAGCCTAAAGAGGGATGTTTAAACTCCTAGAATTTGTGCTTATTGCTTTGTATTTAATAGGCCTGTTCATTTTTTATGTTTATACCCTTTCTTTTCCCCTTATTTCTCTCATGTTTTTTATATATAAATATAACCTTACTGTTGAAAAATTAGCTATGGTTTGTAGAGACGGTATTCTGTTTTCTTTGTACTGTAAATCTTTGTCATAAATAAAAACAAATAAATGATGATGGAGCCATGTGATTGGTCATCACGCCAACTTTGAGCCCCGAACGGTCCGGTTGATTGCTTCATTTTTAACG